GGGGAGGGGCATGGTGTACCAGGAGCAAAGCAGGGGGGAGCCATCATTGGGTGCGGGACAGAGGGTGCATCTCCTGTTGCTATACATCTCCTGGGTGGACTAGGGGGCTATGCCAGGCTTTTCCTGGGGGGTGCATACCCCCAGATCTGTGCACGAGGTAAGAAGGTGGCCGCCACTGCCAGCTGGGGCCAGTGGCAGTATCAGGCTCTTCCTGGTACTCCGGACGTGTGGCAGCCTGCTCTTGTCCTGCACACAGATGCCGGGGCCCACATCCCCCAGGAGGGCTGTGCCAGGCTCTTCACGGAGGGCATGGGTTCCTGGATCCACACATGGGACAAGAGCAGGCTGCCACTTGCCCAAAGCGCCAGGAAGAGCCTGATGCCACCGTTGGCCCCAACCTGCAGCTGGCTCTCATCCCATGCAGATTTGGGGGCCACGGGCCCCCTGGAAACAGCCCAGCACAGCCCCACAGCTTGCAGCCCTCCTGGAGGGCACATAACAACAAGGGCTATGCTTCCCACCCCCCACACCAGTGGCTCCAACTCCGCTCCTGCCCCAGGTGCTGGGAGCTGCAAGCCCAGTCCCTGCAGCAGGCACTGCACCTAGCCACTCCACACAGGCCCACTGGGGTGTAGGGCTCCTGGCTCTGACCCCAGGGCAGGAGGTGCCAGTGTCAAGCTTGGGCCCCCCCGCACGCCACTCCCCCCTCTGCCCGAACACCAGGGCAGCCCAGCAGCAGGCTGCTGCAGCAGCGGGGAGGGGCAAAAACACAGCCAGGGAAGAAAGGCAGGGCACAGTGCCATGCGCTTCCTGCCACTGAAATTCCCATTAATCGAGTTTTCCAGTTAGTAAAATCCCAGATAACAAGGTTTTACTGGTTTTATTTTTATGAAATGGCAGCTGCCATACAGAGGAATAAAAAGTAAAATATGGGTAGAAAGCACAAATCTCTATGTGACTATGTCTGTGAAAAATCAATGTTTAGAAGTTTTCAAAAAGAGTAAAACAGAAAGGTGAAGAGGAGGATGCACTGTGAAGCAAGTAGTGAGGCACTGAAGTTCTCGTGCCAACAGGATAAAAGAACACGTAGAAAGCAAGTGACACATTAAAATTAAAAAAGTGAGATTAGGGATAAATAGGCCATATCTGGAGCCTTTAACAGGGCATTAATGAAAGACAGAACCCCAATGACTGTTAATGAGTGCTGTTTGTTTTGCTGAGCAACCACTGTTTCTCACAGAGGGACTGGTCAGCGACTCTGTATGACAATACTGTCCAGAAGCAAAAACTCTTCCTAACGCAGACAACCTCACTCGTAAGTACCTCAGAGAAAATGACGAAGCTCTAGAACCTAAAGTGATTGAAAGAATTAATGGAAATGTGGTGTCTAGTTTGATTTTTGACAAATCTCCTGATGTGTTGGACTGCCTGATTCTCAGCCTTTTGCTTT